TTATGCAAGAGCCCAGGGGTCCACTGATTTGAGTCATACAATTCAAAGACCAGAGAATGTAGAGTTCTGATGTGCAAGGGCAAGAGAAGGTCATACAGGCTGCAAAAAGAGAGGTGGTGAGAATATGCCTTTTTATTTTTCCATCTGGAACTTCAGCTGATTGAATAGTGCCCCCTCACATTGACAGTGGATCTTCACCACTCAGTCCACTATCTCACATACAAATATCCAGTAGAAATACCTTCATGGACCCACCTGGGAGAGTAGGAACAGTTTAATCAAAAGCAAAAACACCTGGGTTTCGGCACATGAGAAATGGGCTCAGTGCTTACTGAAGCATTGAGAATAAATAATATTTTGTCAACTGCCTTAGTATGCCTTAATTCAATCAAGTTGGCACCCCAAATCAACCATCACACACCCTTTTTTACTTTATATACTTACATAATTATTAATATAATTGAATTTAAACTTAATATCTTGATATTTTCTTTTATATATTCCATCTTTCCACTGTTCATTTTTACCCTTTTACCCTGTTTTTCAAAATAATTAAAATGTGAGAAGCTAGGTTTCAGCAAGATGGAAGAAAAGGATTTTCCAGTGCTCTCCCCATCCCCAAGAAACATCAACTTGAGCATCCATCAATATACAAAAATACCTTCACAAGAGCTATGAAAACCAGGTGAGATTACAGAAAGCATGTGTAGCACAGAAATAAGAAAAAACATATTGAAAATTATATAAAGGACAATTTTACATTACCTGCATCACCCTTATCCACCAATTCCAGAATTGAGAGCCCAGAAATGAATCTATGCATTTAAGATCAATTGATTTTCGAGAAACGAGCCAAGGATACACACTGGGGAAAGGACAGTCATTTCAATAAATGGAGTTGGGAAAACTGGATATGCATATGCAGAAGAATGACATCAGACCCTTATATAATATAGAACTATGAATTCAAAATGGATTAAAGACTTAAACATAAGACCTGAATGTATACATCTTCTAGAATAAAACATAGTGGAAAAGCTCCATGCATGGTCTGGGCAATTTTTTTTTTTTTAGATTTGAACCCCAAAGTACAAGAAATAAAAATGAAAATGGACAAACAGGATTGCATATAATTAAAAAGCTCCTGCATCCCAAAGGAAACAATCAGCTGAGTGAAGAGACATCCTAAAGAAAGGGAGAAAATGTTTGCAAACTAAAATCTGATATGGAGTTAATATTGAAAATATGAACCACCATCAAGAAAGCAAATAATCCAATTAAATATAGATAGAGGACCTGAAGATACATTTCTCTAAAAAAAGACACAGAAATTGCCCAGCAGTATATGAAACAAAGAAAACTCCGTCATTTGTGACAACGTGGAGTTCCCTGGAAGAAATGATGTTAAGTTAAATAAATCAGGCACAGAAATATGAAATCTACAAAAGTTGAACTCATAGAATCAGAGAGGAGAATGGTGGTTATTTCCTGGGGATGAAGGGTGGGGGACTATAGGTCCAAAGATAACAACATTTCAGTTAGACACAAGGAATAAGTTCAAGTGATCTATTGTACAACACGGCAATGATATTTTAAAATATTCTCAAAAATTGCTGAGTATATATTAGTATTCTTATTTCAATAAATAAGTATGAGGGCTAGGGATATAGCTCAGTAGGAAGAGCACTTGCCTTGCCTGCACAAGGCCCTGGGTTCAATCTCCAGCACCACAAAAAAAAATAATAAGTATGAGTTAATACATACGTTCATTAACTTGATTTAGCCTTTATACAATGTACACATATTTCAAAATATCATGTTTTCCATTATAAATAAGTTTTTATTTGTTGTGAGAAACAGAAAGTCCAGGGGTCCATTTTCAAAATATAGTATTTGGCCTTATATGGGATGGAAGATTGAATCATAGCTATTTTGAGATCCAATTGTAGACATTTTAACTATAGCCTTCCTATTTGCCCTCCCCAATTTTAAAATTAGCCAATTGCATAGATTATAACCCCAAGCTGCTCCTATTAGAGCCAGAGGCAGTACTGTTTTAGGGGTAAAAACAGGTGGATTGCCTACCGAAGTGTAATGGCTTGCTGGATTTTCTTTGGAAGCACACCCTTCTGCAGAAGTAAACTTTGCCTTGCTGAGCTACTTCCAAGCATGTGTTTGATTCCTTGGGGGTACCCCCAATATTTCTAACATTGTCAATTGAAATAATTAATTTAAAAGAAAATTATGTTTCCATTTATTCTGTGACTATAGGCAAAATACTTCTGTACTCCTTAGTTTCCTAATAATAGCATTATGAATATCAATGAGTATTAATTAAATTAATATATGTTAAGTACTTTATTTATTTTAATTTATATATTTTTTGGTACCAGGAATTGAACCCGGAGGTGCATAAAAACTGAGCCACATCCCAAGCCCTTTTTTAATTTTATTTGAGACAGGGTCTTGCTAAGTTGCTTAGGTCCTCACTATATTGCTGAGGCTGGCTTTGAGTTTACAATCCTCCTGCCTCAGCCTTCTGAGCCGCTGGGATTACAGGAGTGTGTGCACCACCACATCCAGCATAAGTAAATTATTTAAAGAGAGTTCCTGCAATATAAGAAGTATAAAAGTGCTAGACATTATTGATATTCTTCTTGTTATTTTATAATGACAACAATGAACTCTCTACAATGTCAATAGCTCCTACAATTCTTTATCTCTTACTTCAACATATTTCCTTTCATGGACTTGGGAAGAGAAGGCCAGGATAATTGTTCTGTGAATTACAACTGGCTTAGATGCCTTTCGTTACATTCTTATGAGGTTATCTAGCCCCAATTACTGGAGGATTTGGGGGATATGTAATGCCTCTTGTCCTTACCTGAGTCACATCAGACAATACTAGGGAAACAAATCAAATGTAACTCAGTATCACATTTTTTTGTTGTTGTTGTTTTTGCTTTTTTGTTTTTTGGAACCAGGGATTGACCCAGGGTCGCTTAAACACTAAGCCAGATCCCCAGCTCTTTTTTTTTTTTTTTTATTGTTGGTAGTTCAAAACATTACACAGTTCTTAATATATCATATTCCCCAGCTCTTTTTATTTCTTATTTTGAGACACAGTCTCACTAAGTTGCTTAGGGCCTCGCTAAATTGCTGAATTGGCTTTGAATTCGCGATCTTCCTTACTTAGCCTCCTAAACCACTGGGATTATAGATGTGTGTCACTGTACCCTGCTTGGTATCTCATTTTGCTTATGTACCCATGTATTTTTAATTTTTTTTAGTTGTAGATGGACACAATACTTTTACTTTGTTTATTTAGTATTTTTTATGTGGTGCTTGGGATAAAACCTAGTGCCTCACGCTGCTAGGCAAGTGCTCTATCACTGAGCTACAACCCCACAACCTCAGCCAAATCCCCATGTATTTTCATATCTATACTTTTATTTATAAACTGAAAGGTACTTGTGAAATGTGTAGATCAACTAAAGATTCTCCTATCTTATAAGACAGTTGGAAAATGAAGTAAAATAACAAAGGATGGTAATATGATCATAACTGTTAGAATCATTTTGTTGAAAGGTGGTAAGACATAAGGCAAGGAGACCAGTAAATGTTGTTGTAGTAGTCCATAAGTTGTAGTAGTCCACCTTCATTAAATAGAAGCACTGAAGCCAGAGTAGGAAATGGAAGCATTCCCCAGATCCCTAGGAGGTAATTAATGGGCATTGATCATTTATTGAAGTAGTTGGTACTTATAAATCTTGTACTAAATGTCTTATATAAAGTGTGTCATTTAGTCCTGACAACTCTGTGAAATAGTTAAAATTATTAGCCGTATTTTAGAGATAATGCAAGAAGTATCAGTATCCAAGTTATACATATAATATGTAAGTAAAACAATTAATTCAAACTAGGATCTGTCCATTGCCATGCTTTTTATTCAAAAGGAAAATTTTCAGCTTCTGGATACTTCCAGCCATTTGTAACTGAATCTAATTATCTGCACAAAAGATGCTCACAGAGGACTCTGAAATCTTCCACACTATCAGTGAATCTTGCTTCTATCACAACTAATCATTCCTTAATAATTTGAAAAACAATGCTCCTATATGATCTCTTTCTAACTACTAAACAGAAGGGCATGGTACAACTGGGAGATAGAGGGCATAATACTGATATCAAACTAACAGATATTTATGACTGGCTTTTGAGATCTTAAAATCTATAGACAAGGTACTTTGGGATTGTGGCCTCAATGACTCACTTAATAGAAGGACTTCACATGCCCACTCCAGCTGCCCTGTACATTTTAAACTTCCAAAGATGTTTCTGCCTGAAGGGTCTATATTTATATTATGACTTCAGTAGCAGAAACAGGTGCCTGGGTCTTTTCATCTTCCTATCTTGAATCTTTTTTCCAAACATACATATCTTTATCATATTTATGATTATGAAAATAGTATTGTTTATGGAAAAATTGAAAAATAATAGAAAATTATCAGAACAATAGTTTTAAAAACTCCACAACCCTAATCATTATCTTTTATCCTAACTCACCCCATCCTTCCTCTTTGGTTTCAATGACTGAACTGCAAGGGAAGTGGTGGTTATTAGTGGCTGAGGACAGGGTGAGTAAAGAAAAGACTGCTGCTTTTCTTGTGACCTCAAAAAAATAAGTAATTCTCTGTCCCAACACGGAGCACTAAAGAGTAACAATGGTTAATAACTATGGGAAGATGCAGCCCCTCCCTGGTAACCAGAGAAAGGCAAATTCCAACCACGGGGAGAAGGGGCCACTTTTGACCTCTGAAATTAGCAAAGACAAAATTGAGTGACAGGGCCTGGTGTGGTGGGGGTGGGAGGTTGAAAGACCAGTTCACTTCTGCAGCACTGTTGGTGGGAGGGGGAGGTGGGAGCCAGAGTTGGAGGATGACATAATCCTCACGTGATCAGAAGCTGACATGAACCCAAGTCCTTATATTCCCGGGCTTCTTTCTCCTCTGGGTACCAGCTCCTTACTGCCTGCAGACTTGCGTGTTTGTGGCCCAGTGAAGAAAGAGGTAAATTCCTTACATCCCAGCAGATTGGTGGGAAGCAACTGCTGGGACCCCTGGGGCGGTAGTAGCTGAATCTATTGACATTAATATGCCTGGGCTTGCCTTTCCCAAATCCTTGCAAATGGATAGGAGATAACTGCATATTTTGAAGTGGGAACCGGGGGATAGGTGAAGTCTCTTGAGAGACACGCAGAGATTTAGTGATAGTTTAGTGGGGGAGGAGGGGAACTCAGTTTATCTTATCCTGGAAAGCTTTCTCTATCTTTCTCCCTTTCTCCAATGGAGAAAATGGTAGGCCTAGAGTGTGGGTGGAGAGAGATTGCAATTCTGGTTTGGGGACAAGAGAAATTTAGAGGAAATTTGAAAACAGTTTGCCTCACTCACGGCTGGCCTGCGGTGGAGGGGCGGGGCGGGGGATGGGCGATGGTGAGCCTTGGGCCTGAGAGTGAGGGGCGGAGGTAGCACAGAATTCCTGGAGGGAGGGATGGGGACTGGAAGGGAACCAGAGGATAGAAAATTTGGAACGAGGATGGTGATGAGAATTCTGAATCAAGCTAGCGTGTCTCTTGTCTCTGGGACTGGTTGATCGCAGATAATTCCCTCTTCCCCGCCCTCCTTCCTTTTGTTTGCAGATCCAAAAGTCTGTGTTCACAGACACCTCCAGGCAAGAAAAAGAGCAGCAAACTACCCCGCATCTGCGGCACAGGTCAGTGTGAGGAAGTCACTTAGACTGACGTTTCTGTGGGTAGAAATTGGAAATGGCAAAAGCTGGGTAAAATGTGCTCTTCACAGCCCACCTCCAGGTCTGCTCCCTTTCTCCCGCCCACGGGAGAGGCCATTAGCTTTTTCTGCTGGCGAAATGGTGGGTTCCGGGAAGGGAGGGGAAAGAGGAGGAGATGAGAGAGGGGAGAGAGCGGAGACATTTACAACTTATGGAAACTGGACCTGTGGGGCGGTTGTGGAAGATTAGGCTAGTGTCTTGGCCCAAAGGGAAACTGATCATCCTGATGCAAAAGTAACGAAACAATCGTCTCTGCATTTTTCTCTCTGTATTTAAGCTGGAAACAACATCATGCAAAAACCCTGCAAAGAAAATGAAGGAAAGCCCCAGGGCAGCGTGCCAAAGAGGGAGGAGGAACGTCCCTACGGAGAATTTGAACGCCAGCAAACGGAAGGGAATTTTAGACAGAGGCTGCTTCAGTCTCTCGAAGAATTTAAAGAGGACATAGACTATAGGCATTTTAAGGATGAAGAAATGACAAGAGAGGGAGATGAGATGGAAAGGTGCTTGGAGGAGATAAGGGGTCTGAGAAAAAAATTTAGGGCTCTGCACTCTAACCACAGGCATTCTCGGGACCGTCCATATCCCATTTAAAGCACTTACTCCTGAAATCATTTACTTTCTGTTATTAATTTTGCCAATGGTTTCTTGTATCTGCATTTTCTTGCTTAACATTTGCTTTTATTTTACTCCAATCCCTCAGATGTTGATTTATTTACATGATTCTTATCAACATCTCATCTTTTGACCCCATCACACTCTTTAATAAGGGGGCTCACTCATTTAAATGGGAAGATGCTCATCATATATTGTAAACACACTACAGAGCAATATATATGTATGTATATATATACCTTATATGTACATTTATATATGACAAAATGCAAAGCAAAATGTCTGAATTATTATACACCAAAGGTAAACAGTGAATCTGTGTGATTTGTATTTTCTTTTTTTCTTATCTACATTTTCTCAATTTCTAAAAAAATGAGTGTGTGTGTGTGTGTGTGTGTGTGTATTACTTGTGCTATACACAAAAAAAAGAAAATAACTTTTGGAGGGCAGTGAAACACTAAAAAAATTCTTAACAGAAGTATTTAATAAATTTACCTTTTTTTTTTTTTTTTTTTTTTGGTGCTGGGGATAGAACCCAGGGCCTTGCACATGGGAGGTAAGCACTCTACCAACTGAGCTACATCCCCAGCCTATTTAATAAATTTAAATTTCAAATTAACTCTGGATTTCTCAGCCAGAGGAACATAACTGGCAATCATTACAGATGCAGTTGCTTAAGACTCAGTCTTTTCATGGGGAAAATATTTGCCTCACAGGGGGGCTGTGGGGAAGCAATGATCCAGTAACTCTGAGCTGTGCTTGATGATACCTTGTTTCACCTATGCATACAGAACCCCAATTATTTGAGGAAGGGTGGCCTGACTAAACCTATGCTCAGAAACAAGTCCAGTAGGCAAATGCAGGGGCTTCATGTTATTCCTCAGTGACTGAGCCCCACCCCTGTCTACTTTCCTGGGTCCCACTATGCCTATTGTCCATGGCTGCTGCTCCTGCTGGGTCGTTTGCTCTCTGCTGGCCCTCTCTACTGCTGGTGCACTGAGGCCTTGAGTGACAAAATCTCACTCACTTAAGTTTCCAGGAGTCCTCTGTGTTGAAGTCTGTCTTCTTAAGCCTATCTCTGCTATATAGTGATGCTTACATTAAGTGGGACTGCTCTAGGGTTGCTGGGGCTGCAGTCAATGCTTGCACAATCCTCAGCCAAACAGCTACTTCCGTTGTCAATCACAGGATCCTTCACATCCATAGGAATCTGATGTGATGCATCCATTTGGGGTATAAGTTTGAGAGAAAGGTGGCATTCTGTCATCCGAGTTGCAGCTTTTACTTCCAAGGAGTAAGGTTTTTTCATCTTGTGAGATGATCTCCCCCTGAGGGCTGCTGGCAGGCCTGCCTTACCAGTTCAGGACAATTTTGGGAAATGTATAAACTGTACAAAGTGATGCAGGGAACATATCTAAGGTAATAGTTCCCTGCTTTCTACCTCAACACCTCTTGAAACATGTAAAAATTCTTTGTAAGACTAATACATATACTGATATATATTAAAAATAATATATATATTTAGCCTTACAAAGTGCATATATATGCATATAATTATGCATTTAAGCATTATTTCCCAACTGAACATTTTGCATTTTGCATTTCAAATTAAAGACTATGTCATGTTCATATTTTTTCATTGACTAATGCTGTCATTAACATATAGGATTTTTTGGTCTTGTTTTGTTTTCATTTTGGTACTGGGGATCAAACCCAGGGTCATGTAGTTGGTATGTAATAAATGTTTATTTAGTTAGAATTTTACTGCCCACTTTTTATTTGTCTTTATACCATCATCATTATTATTAATTTATTATTTATACTGGGTATTGAACCCAGAAGCACATATCCACTGAGCCATATCCCCATCCTTTTTTTATATATATTGTTTTTGAGACAGGGTCTTGCTAAGTTGCTTAGGGTCTTGCTAAATTGCTGAGGCTGGCTTTGAATTCACGATCCTCCTGCCTTAGCCTCTCAAGCCACTGGGATTACAGGCCTATGCCACCATGCCCAGGCAACTTTTACTTCTAATTACACAAACAGACACTCTTAACAAATAGACTGATTCAGAATCTGTGCCTTTGGTGCCAGAATTTTCATTGTGGTGTTCTGATGAAATTAATGTATCCACTCATGCCTTATAAACCCTCAATATAGACTCTGTTTCAGCTGAGCTCAGCAGAGAGAGAATCTCCTGATTATCAAAGTCGTACTGGCTTATAATTCATAATTAGGGACACCTACCAGTCAAAAAAGTGGTTATCATAGCTTGAAAATTCTGGAAAAGAAATAAAGTATCTACCAAATCAGGCTTACTAGGAGGTAAATAGAAAAATAAATTATAAGTGGTAAGGCATTATCTGCCTATCTAGGGAGGGTTATTGGCTCTCTTGCATTGATTTGCACCACTGATTATCCAGGTATCTAGCCTGTATTCCTCTCCTTGTCTTATACTCCAGATGGTACACATGGTTTCCATGGTTATTTCAAGGAGAGCAAAAGGATCACTCAGAGTTGTTTGCAAGTCTTAGAAGTCTTATATTGCATTTTATGGTCCCAAAATATATTCAAGGGAGACTGAGAAATGTAGCAGAGCACATACTTTTTGACCAAGAGATCTTACTTTCAGGAATCTAATCTATAGAAATGAAAGAATGTGTACATGCATATTCATTGCAGGTAGCATTGCTCTTAAGAAAAAAAATGAAGAAATTACTTTATGTAAGTCAATAGGGGATTTGTTGAATAACGTAAGGGCATACTCGTACTATAGAAAGATTAATTTCCAGCTGTACTTACTGAACTCTGACAAGACTTTGAAGAATTCTAAGTTGAAATAAAGGGATAGACATTATATTATTTAAAGTCATGTGAAGAAATAAAGAACAAAAATAGTCTCACAAGTAACTATAAAAGCAAGTGATATTGCATATATGATTATAACTCCTCTTTATTTCCCCTACATGACTTAAAAGACAAATACATAAAAATGATAATTATAAAGCTGTTATTTATACACACTTGGTATTAACATATTAACTATGAAAATAACAGCATAAGGGGAATCCAACTATAATAGAGTTCTTATACTGAAAATAAACTGTTATAATGAAATAAAAATATTGTTACAAAATGAAGACATGAGTTGTATTCCTATGGGAACCAATAAAAATAAACTAAAACAATGTGGAAAAAGAAATGAGAACAGGCCAAGCATAGTGATGCATGCCTGTAATCCCAGCAGCTGGGGAGGCTGAGGAAGGAAGATCTTGAGTTCAAGGTCAGCCTCAGTAATTTAGTGAGACCTAAGCAACTCAGTGAGGCCTGGTCTCTAAATAAAATATGAAAAAGGGCTGGAGATGTGGCTCAGTGGTTAAACACCCCTGGGTTCAATTCTTGATACAAGGAAAGAAAGGAAGGAAGAAAGGAAGGGGGAAGAAAGGACAGAACTGAAAGACTACACAAGATAGTAAGTCAATTACCACAATAAAGGCAGCAATGGGGGAATTGAGAAACAAAAAGGTATAAATATGTAGAAAACAAATAGCAAAATGGCAGAAGTAAGTTCTTCCCTATCAGTGATTAATTAAATGTAATTCATCAGTGTTTTAAAAATACCCTGAGTTTGTTTTAATTAGGTATAGTAAGATACACAGACACAGAAATGACTATCATGAAACAAGAAGGTCTTATAATCACAGATTCCAAGAATAGAATATACAGTATACCATATGGGGCAACATGGAGGAACACAAGGGTCAATCGTAAAGCAGAGGGATAAAGGGGAAACTAAGGGTAAAAATGTTTATTGTGGTTTTTCTTGGAAGGAACAGTTGTGACAGAGTAAACAGATTTAGGCCTGGCTACTTCAAATAATTTTAATAGCTCAAGAGTAGAAGTTGTCTTATCTAGGACTGTTTGAGTATGAAAGTCTGAAAAATGAGGTGGTTGGTGACACTGGTTTGCAAATGAAAGGGGTACTCACAGCTGAGTTGTTTGCTATCTCTAGGAATTTAGCTAACCCTGAGAGAAACAGACACTCTGGGGTCAACAAGACTCCAGATGCCAAAGTATAAAATACTTAAACTAGAAAAAATTAAATTAAATTTAGCAATTAAAAGGCAGATAGGGGACTTGGATTGTGGCTCAGTGGTAGAGCACTTGCCTGATATGTATGAGGCACTGGGTTCAATTCTCAGCACCACGTATAAATAAGTAAATGAATAAAATAAAGGTCTATTAACAACTAAAACAATATTTAAAAAATAAAACAAAATAAAAGGCAGATAGGCAGCACAGATTTTTTAAAAGGCATGAACCACCTCTACACTCTCTAAAGCAGATTCATTTTCCATTTTCTTTAAAGAGAAGGCAGACTTTAGATACTGTGATAGTAGGAGCAAATGTGACTCCATTTTGTTTTATGACTTCATCCTGTAAAACAACCATGCCAARTAGAAGAGTCATGACTGGGGCAAGATGTTCTTTTCCTTTTGCTAAAGAAACCTTTAAGAACACGGAACTACCTAATGGGGCATTGTTTCTGTAACTAGGGTAAAGGGGCTCTGTTTCTGTAACTGGGGTAACTGGGGTGTTTGGGCTAACTGTGATTGGTTAGGCTTCCCTCCGCTTGACTGTACTGTCCCGCTTCTGTAAACTGGCTTGCTTGCATTGGCTAGACCCCACCCCACCCCCCACCCCCGCCCAACATCCCTTTTGCGGTTTTCAGGCTTATAAGGAGTGCCCTTGCAATTGTTCGGGGCTGATCAGGGAGACAGCTTTATGTTCTGGTCAGCCGCCACCGCCACCAGTGTGCTTCAATAAAGGCTTGATTCGATTATACGTGAGTGGTCTGGAAGTCAGTTTATGAAACCCTGGGACAAAGCTTTAGCTATAACAATACAAAGATGCAAGTAAATTAAAATTATGATGGACTTTACTTGAAAACTTCTTTAGAGATAAAGAAGAACATTTATACACTTATAAACTACAAGTTATCAAAATGATATTACAATTGTTGCTGGGCATGGTGTGCATGTCTGTGATTCCAGCAGGTCAAAAAACTGAGGCAGGAAGAATGCAGCTTTGAAGCCAGCCTCAGAAACTTAGTGAGGCTGGAAGAAACCTAGTGAAATCCTATGTCAAAATAAAAAATGAAAATGGGTTGGGGATGTGGCTCGGTGGTTGAGTGTCCCTGAGTTTAATTCCTAGTACCAAAAAAAAAATGATATAATAATTGCAAACACACACACACACACACACACAGACCCAAAGTATGTGAA